TAGACTGCTAACCTAAGGCTGGTGGTTTGAACCCACCCAGTGGCTCCACAGAAGAAGGGTCTAGCAATCTGCTTCCATAAAGATTACAGCCAAGAAAACTCTATGGAGTAGTTCTACACTCTGTAACACATGGGATCACCATGAGTCAGAATCAACTCAATGACAACTAACAACAATAATAATAACCACACTGTAGGAGATTTTGAATAAGGCAAAGGAAATAATACAAAATACTCGGCAGCTCCTAAATCCAAAGATATTATTGCTATGGATAATAAGAGATATATAAACAGTCTCTTAAAATTTAATTATACTTTATCCCCATGATTCATAAGAAAATCAAGTCAGAATAATCAATATTAAAAATGAGTATAATGAAAAAAAATTATCTATTTTAAGTGTTTTTAAATGTTTTGCTGCCTGGAAGGAGTAAAAAGACTTTCTGTGAAGTAGAGTCTAAAAGCACCAATTAACATTTTAATTCTTAAGCACAGGAATAGAGGTCATTACTCTGTCATAGAATAGACAAGAAGAATACAGGGCTTATTTGCACATGATACTTCTTCGAATAAGAATATGGAGGCCGAATCTCTACCCGTATAAAGAAACCAGCAGTGCACGCAAAGGAAATGTAGGGAAATGAGGAAAACACTGCAATGCTTACCAATAACATCAAAGAAAAACTGCACACAAACAAACAACAAGAGTGTTTTAAGGAGTATTGGCGGATGGTGGCCAGAAAAAAGTAAGTACAAGGCTATGAAAATATTTTCAAAGCTTAAATCTGTTGTGTCATGAAAAGGTATTATTATGTAGGAATAATGGGATTCATACTCCAAACTCAATCACTGTGGACTTCCTATTTAAATGTCCCTACTGAATTCCAATATCATTTGTTTCTATTATTGTTGTTGTTAGCTGCGTTGAGTCAGCTTCTGACTCATGGCAGCCCCATGCACTAGGAGACTAGACCACTGGAATCCATAGGGTTTTCATTGGCTGACTTTTCAGAAAAAGATCGCTAGGCCTTTCTTCCTAGTCTGTCTTAGTCTGGAAGCACCACTAAAGCCTGTTCAGCATCATAACAATATGCAAGCCTCAACTGACAGATGAGGATGGGGGCTAGGGGAGGTGGCTGTGCCTGAGGTGCACTGGCCAGGAATCCAACCCAGGTCTCTCACACGGAAGGCAAGAAATCTACCACGGAACCACCACTGCTCCCTTGTTTCTATTAGTCTGATAAAAATGGTTAGAATTATTAAGATCCAGGGACTCTTTCTTCTTATTTTGAATATGTTAAACTCCAGCAAGGATTCACTTTTAACATTGGCTGCCTCCAGAGAAGGAAATAATATTGGGAAGGAAAGGGAACTCTAATGTTCATTCTACATACTTTTGCATTATTCAACTTTTTCACAATGAGCAATCTTTGTGTATGACATATAATGAAAAATGAATTTTAGAAATAAATCAACCATTGTGTTCCTAAGAAATATTATTATAAATTGACATTGAATTTAAAACCTACTGGGCCTTAAAAACAAATACAACCTAAATGCATAAAAAATTATACAACAGCTCACAGAAAAAAAGGGAAAACAATGCTACCCTTCAACTGAACACTTATTGCAATTATCTAAGATCTTTAGGGAAAAAAAAATCAAAATTTTTTCCAAGTGTGTTGTGAGTGGGTAAGTAAGAAGCAATTCCTTCCAAGCCAGTAAAGGAACAAAACTCTCCTTTAAAATTAAAAATATTTTTCAGCAAAGAAGTTGGACAACTAAGGAATATAGTACAGACACTGTCAACAATCTTATAGTTAGGACATAAAGGAGCAAATAAAAAATAACTGGACATTATAAATCTGCTACTGTAATAAGAAAAAACTCCTAACTGTCCAGACACATGTGTTTGATGTCAGATGTTTTTAGTGGAAATAAATTTGGCATGTGCTCCAACTGGCCTCTAAGTACCTGGATTTACTGCATTAGTGACAACAACTCATTAAGTCTAAAGCTGATGACTATAATCACAGGACTCAAATTTGTGATGGGGAGAATATTTATTCTCTTTAAATTCCATATTTAAAGTATTGGCATATATTTAACTAACCCTAGAATACACTTCCAAGAGTCAAATATAACCTTTAGATGTAATCTTTGCATGTAAATTTCCTTAACTGTAACTCAGATTTAAATTTGAAAACAAAAGGATGGTCTTTTGAAAAGTAGGCAAATACTGAATCCAGGGTTTCTAAACCTTAGCACTACAGACATTTTAGGTCAGATAATTCTTCCTTGTGGGGGGCTATTATTAAGATGTTTAGCAGCATCTATAGCCTCCATAGGAAACCTTGGTGGCGTAGTGGTTAAATGCTAAGGCTGCTAACCAAAAGGTCGGCAGTAAGAATCCACCAGGTGCTCCTTGGAAACTCTATGGGGCAGTTCTACTCTATCATAGGGTCGCTATGAGTAGGAATCGACTTGACTGCAATGGGTTTGTATAGCCTCTATCCACTAGATGCCAGTAGCACCCTCCCTTCCCTGTAGTTGTGACCAAAAACAATGTCTCTAGATGTTGCCACATGTCCTCTGAAGGGCAAAATTGTCTGCAGTTGAGAAGCACTGATGATCCTGTGCTTGGACCAAAACCAAAAGCTTCAGAATTATGGATAAGGGTAATTCTTGTTTGTAAAGCTGGAAACAATTACAACTGAAGACGTAGAAAGGGAAGTAGATCCAAGCACAAAGTTAAATGAGGCAAAAATACTGAGCTACACATAGCACACTCTCCATTATTAACGGTTTATTCTGCTGAGATCTTAGTCTAGAACTGCAGCTTACTCTTGAGAAAACTCTCTCTTACATACACACACAAAACCCCTCCATCTTTATTCTCCTGCTCGTCATCCACTGGAACTGTCCATTGGTTCCTGGGTAAAAGAGCTTCTCTTCAAGTTCAGTGGTCACTGCTCTGCCTAGTCTGGCTAGGAACCTTCCAAATTGATCTATACTGTCTACCAGCCCATCCTTTACCACATTTTCTCTGACCTTGATTTTCAAAACATCATTTTCATAAATTATGTCTTCACTTTGAATCTTTTCACTTTTCCAGTAATATCCTTTACATAAATTCTCTTTGGGTCCGAAATATACAAATGAAATATGTATACACACACACACGACAGGCAGTCCCCGACTTACAATGGGGTTCAGTTTCAACAACTCCGTCATTAGTTGGTTCTGACATAAGTCAAATACTTCACTTTTTTTTTAGTTTTCATTATTGTTGTCTTTTATTACCAGTATCTTTATAAATCATAATATTGAACATCTTCAAGTGTATCTCTGACAATGATATTAGCAAATTACCTGCTGCAACACTGTATAAAATACATATTACTAATGATAAGATGTACCAAAAAAAAAAGATATGCGTAAGTGGGGTCCGCTGTAACTCGAATCCATCGTAAGTCGAGGACTACCTGTATATACATGCCTGTATGTATATTTCCAAATCTAAATCTTCCTTACCAATCTCACTTCATTCATTTAAACTTTTTTACTGAGTGCCTTGTCTGTGGCAGGCACTGTGCTAAAAGTATATCTTGAGATACATCAGGGGATAAAATGACAAAGATTTCTGACCTATTGAGGGGAGAAAAGGAGACAATGAGAGTATCGGAAGCCTGGGAAGGGAGAGAGTATGACTGCTTCATTCTTCATCTGGAGCTTTCCTATTAGAAAACCAATTGATCTGGCAACTCTGCTTCTCCATGTTTTCCCAGGAAAATGTTAAAATCCTGTCTTTATCTGACATTGACCTTAACCGCTTTCTCCTCACCTGCCCTCACATTTACCCTTTCTTCTTGAACTTTGCCACAGTTTCATCTGTTGACACTTCCAGATGTAGCAAAGCATCCTGCTTCTGAATCTTTGTGTCCCTGGAATTACTTGCTTTCCCGATCAGACACTGTCTGCCCATGGCCTGGTTCAGATTTTCAATCCAAATGTCTAAGACCTTAAAGGGTAGGTTCAAGGACTCAGATACTTGATACCACCTGGAATCCTGGTGGCACAGTGGTTAAGAGCTTGGCTGCTAACCAAAAGGTCAGCAGTTTGAATTCACCAGTCACTCCTTGGAAACCCTATGGGGCAGTTCTACTCTATCCTATAGGGTCACTACGAGTAGGAATCGACCCACAGCCAACAGGTTTGGTTTGGGGCTACTCCTTGGAGTCCCTGTTGTTGTTGTTGTATGCCATAAAGTCAATTCCAACTCTTAGTGACCCTATAGGACAGAGGAGAACCACCCAATAGGGTTTCCAAGGCTGTAATCTTCATGGAAGCAGACTGCCACATCTTTCTCCCATGGAGTGGCTGGTGGGTTTGAACCACTGATCTCTCAGCAGCTGAGAGCTTAACTACTTGCGCCACCAGGAACCCTCGTTAAGTGCTCAACTACTAACCAAAAGGTTGGTGGTTTGAACCCGCCCAGAGGTGTCACAAAAGAAAGGCCTTACAATCTGCTTCTGAAAGGTCACAGTCTTGAAAACTCTATGGAACACCATTCTACTCTGCACACGTGGGGTCGCCATGAGTCAGAACAGACTAGATGACGATTGGTTTGGTTTGATTTGGGCTACTTCTCCCACTCCAACCAAGTTACCTCTGTAATCTAATCACTGGTCTCTATTTCCCCCAGGCTCCCCATCCCTGAAACATATTTTGACCATTTTTAAGCAATCTTATCTTCATGGTCTACTTACCTCCACCAAGGAGCTTTGTCAGTAAGATAAAAGGAAATAAATGTGCTCTCTAGCACATTAAAACATATGTCTTTGGTAAGCAAGTGATAAATCTCACCTTAAAATCATAATAAATGTGGAACAAGAAAGAATGCCAAACATTCAAATATCTATTATAGCTGAGTGATGCTTACATGGTAACTACTACTTTACCCTGTAATAAACTTAAACTACTAATGGCATCTGAATTTACCTCAAAAGTCCTGAGTTTGGGTGTAATCTCTTCAAGCAAATACAGATCTTTGGAAACCTTGGCCTTCAGCTTGTTCCACTTTCCTTCAACGGCATCAAATTCCTGCCTATATGTATTTTCTACATCAGGAGGAGCATTTTTCTCCAAAGCCTTCGTTTCCTCTGCAAGTTTATATAATGTAGGTTTTTGACTCTCAAGAATTTCATCAAGGGCCTGGAAAAGGTTTTAAACAATTACAAATATGCACAACAATGTATCTGTAGAGATGTAACAATATGAGCTATCAATAGTCAAAAGTCACTTTTCTCAAAAATAAAGCATTTAACAAAAATAGAAGTGTGAAAAATTCAAGGAAAAAAAGCATAATCAAAAAAGTTAAAGCTTTTCCTTCACGAGCTGTGTGTGGGCCAGACATAATATATTCGATATACTACAAACCATGAGAACAACACACCAGTGAGGACCAAGACTGCAGTGGTCAACAGTTTATCCGTTTTACCTGATGACATAGTGTGAGTCATAAGATTACTCAACTAAGTGACAAGGGAAGCACTGTTATTCAACATAAAAATAAATAAATAAATAACACAGCGATTTAACTAAAATTCTTCACTTCACTAAAGATATTTCAGCAAATCACCAACAAGTTGCGAATTTTAGGCGAATTACAACAGAAGAAAGTATGCTTTTTACCCATTAAAAGATATTTCGTAACTATTTTTCTTTTAGTTGAGGTCTTACATTAAAGTAACTAACTTCAAATGATAGGAAATTTTTTGACCTATTTTGACCAAGAATGACCGATTTTTTTTTAAATAGCTGAAAAATATACCTTACCTTTTTTTCTTGCAGGGTCTTCTCCACCTTTGCAAGATCATTCAAGACACTCAGAGAAGCCTGGGCCTTATTTTCTGAATCGTTTAGTGTATCCTTCAGTGTTTTCATTGTTTCCAAATATTCACGTCCAGGCTGGCTCTTCAGTTCTGTTTATTTAATAATATTTAATTTGAGAAAATCATGTTGGGAACTTAATATTATTTTATATTCCATTAATCTTCTGCATATAACAAGTGAATTCTAACACAGATTACCCTAGACCCCATAATTACACTGAAAAAGAGTCTGTTAGTTAATAAAATAGATCATTCCACTGGCATTTCTAAGCATCAGACAGCGACTTCATTCCTGTAGATGTTGACGTTTGAAATATTAACTAACCCACTATCAGTTTTCTTCATTTCTTCATGATGAAACGTCTCTCTGAAGATGGTACTACAATGTTCCTTTTGTCTCATATAATCTCCTTTTCTCTGATAGTGACACAAAGAACAGAAGAAAACAAAGATCCCCACAACCAGTCTTTCTCTAAGCTCAAGCATGGAGACAAACTGCCATCTACAAAGGGGTGGACATTATTCAGGAAGACAACAGCCAGGCTGCCACAGGCACTCTGAGAAATGCTGACTGTAAGAGCCAGCCTGGATGACATCTACTTAAGCCACTAATGTAAAAATCACATAAAGCAATGCTTGTGTAGAAACGAAGTTAGTTCACTGGAAGCACGAACATACAAAACCAACTAGAAGGAAAAGTTAAGAAACTAAACGTTTAAGCTGCCTGTGATCTTTGTCAAATATGAAAGCATACTGTGTAACAGTAAACTGAGAAGAAGGTAGAGTACTCTCATTTATTTCACATTCTGGATAACTTAATTCAATGAACAGAGTATGGTGTCCAAATATCTTTCCAGAAGAAAGGAAGCATGACCCATTTGTTTTATGTGCAAACACACAGATTCTTAAAGTTATCATAGAATCTACAATTGCTAAGTGAGGGTGTAGTTAAATTTGTACTATACCTTTTTAGCATGCCCTACCCTTAACATGGAGCCTTGGTGGCACAGTGGTTAAGTGTTAAGGCTGCTAACCAAAAGGTAGGCAGTTCGAATCCACCAGCTGCTCCTTGGAAACTTTATGGGGCAGTTCTACTTTGTCTTCTAGGATCGAAATGAGTCAGAATCAACTTGACAGCAACACGTTTGGCTTTTGGTTACCCGTAACATTACATAATACAGCCTGATTCTTAAACAATAGCCAAGGAGAAAAAAACATAATGCATGATGGATGAGCTCTCAAAACCTTTAACAGAAAATCTTCCAAAGACAGGTTTATTCCAAAAGTAAGAAATCTCTGAAATTTTTCAGATTTCAAAAAAGGAACACTATTTCTTTAAAATTAGACCATATGGAGCAAAACTGAACTATTCTGAGCAAACAGAAGCAATAAGTGATCATTTCTGTAGTCCTACAAGTAATGATATTAGCTGGCCTCCACTAATCAAAAGAAAAAATAGCTCCTGTGTAACTAACTACTTGACATCATTCTAGCCTAGTGACGTGATTACAGAGCATGTGAAATCTGTTCAGTTTCACAAACAAACGTGAGTCCAAGAAATAGTCAGAATGTACTTTAAGGCCTGGAAAAGAGAGGGCCCAGAGGAAAACAGTGAGGCCGGTGGAAAGTCAGCACGTCTACCCAAAGTGTAAATATTGGAAGAAATTTTTTAATTAAGGCAAACTGAAAGGAGAGAAGAGATATTCAAATCATCAAATAAGAAAACCAACAGAATGGTTTTACCATTCTCTAGCTGCTGCTGACGATCCTCTAAATCCCGTTGCAAAGCTTGGTAGCGACCCAGAAAGCTATCTAGGCTCTTCTGGACAAAATCTGGAGCAGAAAGCTGAGATTTCAGGGCCAAGCAGCTCGCTAGCAGCATTTCAATTTTAGGGTGGAGGCCGAGGAGGTTTGTTAATTCCCGCTATGGGAGAGAAAAGATGGTCACACACTCCCTGAAGATAAACATCCTCGTAACAGGTTAATCAGAACAGAATTAACCCAAAGTTCATGACACAATGAGCACCTTTCTTAAGTATGGGACTCACAGAATTCTCTCATGATTCCAGATGGTTGGCTCTTTACCTGACATGAGTCTTTCAAACTTGGCAAGGACTGCTGGGGAGGTTCTGAAAAGGGAGTGTGTTTTACCCACTCTTCTTTTTTTTTTATGGTCTTTTCAAGCTCATCAAGCTGCTTAAAATAAGAGTTTATTTCTTCCTGGAGCTGAATCTTTCTTGCCAGATCTTCCAAATGCTGAGACTGCCTCTTCCATTCTGATAAAACCTTCTCCAGAGTATTTTTTATTTCTTCAGCAGGAAGACCTCCTATGCAGACATGAAAAATAAGCAGGCATTTTGTGTATTACCAAACTTGTTTTAAATTTGTTATAAACATTCTAACATATTCAAAATAATGAGACAATGTCACAAATAATGATCACTCCCTTAAGTCTTTTTTAACACAGCAACAAAAATTATAATGATGTACTAAAAAATAATTACGCTTATTTTAATTCCTTAACCAAAATGGGGGAGGGAGGAGCCTGAAAAAGTGGTTCAAGAGGGGTGTGGCTATCACAAAACACATTCAGTAGAGATCTGGCCATTGAGTTTTCTATAGAATATGTGTTTCTGTCCTTGGTGTATACTACCACTCTGCTAGCTTCTAGTCTGAGCCCAGGAAATAAAATTACTGCCGGGACTTGTCTGGGGGCTCTGGCATCAGATAGTAGACCTTCTGACACTAGGAAGAAGATAGTTGGCTAGAAAAACCGGGAGGTAGCTCGAGCCTTCACTGACTGAACATGAATTGCAAAAGGAATGGCAAAAATCCTTACTGCTGGGAAGCAACATGGAGAGTATAGGAATGCTAAGCCAGCAGCCAGGCCCAGAAGCTTCAGCAAGATCTACCGAGTGTGCTACACATAGACAACCAAATGTACAAAATGTCAATGCAGTGGTAAGATTATCCAGAGACAGACCAGGAAAAAAAAGTCACTACTTTTATTATTGGCATCTTATAAATTTGTCTTATATTTTCAGTAGAGGATGTTCAGGAAAATAATAAAGTTGTACATAACCATAAGTTTTATAATAGGCCTTCCCTTAATGGAAAATCAAATCTTTAAAATTACTATGACAAACTATGGCAAATCTGCAAAGGAATCTCTATATTCTGAGGAAAGCATGCATGTTGAAAGGATGGCCTTAACATTTTTACTATGTGAGTAGGAGGGTGATACAACAATACAGCTCTGTAAACATATGCAATCAAAACCCAGGGTAATGAGAATTCAAAGAAAAAAAAACAGCATGTGAAACAAAATGTCACTCATGATCCACAGACTACACAACTTTAAAAATTTCTGTGACACACGGTCCCCACTGAAAACTAGAAATGCAAACAGGACATGACATAGTTCGAATCTATCTTCCACGTCACATGGAGTCCATTGCTCACCATCTCACAGGTAATAGAATACAAGACCGAGACAAAACATAAATACCACAGTCCATGTTCAATTACCCCTGTTAATGGGGGTCATAAAACAAATCACCATTTTCCTGACAAACTCTCTGAAAGGTGGAGATACAGGATCTGCTTGTGCCAAGTCCTTTGCATTCTATGTGGACAAAGAAATAACATCAGCCTTTCCAATAGCCACTTCATCTTCATGTCAGAACAATTTATGCTAAATAAGCAAGAAAATTAAGCTGGTTAATAAAATTTTAAGATGGGAAATTATGGCAACTTATCTGAACATGGGCAAAAGGTACTCATTTTATAATACTAGGAAAGCTGGAGAAACTTCTTTCTGGTCTTCCGTTTAATTATTTATTTACTGACAATGTTTCATGATCCATCATTTTGCCCCTTCAAACCAATTCTCAAAATTTTAAATCATCCTTCTCTAAGCCTGAGATACTGTAGGCTGGATTTGTGTCAGTTAATGATCAAAGCACAATTCGCACCTTAAAAAATGACAGCTGTACATTGCCTTTTAAAATAACTGTTTTGTTTCCAGAGATAGGGAGTTACAAATTCCCTATTCCTATAGAAGACCCAACTCTTAGAAGTAACTAGTCAAAAGCCAAATCAATGGCATAGCATCATATTAGTTATCTAAAAGTGACAAAATGTAGCATAGTCCTGCCACTTATTCTCACTTGACTTACACTTTTGAAAATAGCTCTATTGGAATCAATGGAAACGCTTACAAAGCATAGGGCCATCATCAAAATCCACAGGCTTATCAATTTTGCCAGTTATAATGGGTATCAATTTGTAAAGCTACGTTATCCAAGGGCCCAACTTCTCTATTAGCCAAAGATCTCTAGGAACAAGACAAGCCTTAATCAAGAAGATAAGGTAGCTGTAGCCCTGAAATTCAAATGAAATAGGTTATTTCATTTTTTTAAATTTTTATATGCCATATAAGACATCACAAAACTTAATTCAAATGCATGAGGCAGAAAGTCCTAGTAGATTTGATATGAGAAAAACAGTGGCATGAATATTTAAACATATATTTTACTGAAGAATTTGATATTTATCTACATCCTTACCCAGCCAGACACTGGCCAAATCACACTCTGTAAAAACTTCCCTCTACATTAATTAACAATGCTCCAAGACTTGTTTCAAATTTCTAGTGGGAAAAATCATACCAGTTATGCTTTCATTTCTGTTCAACATTTCTGGATTTATAGAAGCAGCAGAATTAACACCACTAACCACATGTAGGCAGCCCTGATGGTGAACTTGTTAAGAGCTACAGCTGCAAACCAAAAGGTCAGCAGTTCGAATCCACCGGCCACTCCTTGGTAACCCTATAGGGCAGTTCTACCCGGTCTTATAGGGCTGCTATGAGTCGGAATCGACTACATGTAGAGGAGTAATATGCAATACCATAAAAATTAGAATGGATAAAATGGGAAGGCAATGGAATACAGAGAAAAAAGTTTCTTTATTCCTTCACTAACAAAAGGCAGAAACCCTACCCTCGCCCCCCCCCAAAATGAACACGGTAAACTTACAACACACAGGGTCAGTTTCTATTGACTGCTTTTCTTCCTGTTTATGGGCTAACGTTTTCTAGGCTTTTGTCCAGGTTTCATAACTTTTTAGTGAATAATAGTTCTTTTAGATAATATAATGCGGCACTTCTGGAAATCAGATTCCCCTTCTTCTCCCCCAGGTCTGTTGTTATTGCTGCTGGTGGTGGTGGTGTTTACTTTTTAATGACTTCCGTGGACAAACGCTGTCCAAAAATTCTGCCTATTCAGATCAATGTCTCCATGTCCCAACTTCCTATGCCTACACCATAAATGTTTAAATAACAGATAAGTCTTTTAAATAGAATCAGGGTTCTCTAACGAATGCATTTCCGTCCTACCAAAGATTTTTTTTTTTTTAAATGGTAATGCAAAATATAAAAGGTTTCCTATGAAATTAGATGAGTGTACATTAGGTCATATTATAAAACCACATGCTATATATTCCCCAACATTGCGCTTGACTTTTGCAAGAGTCACTGTCACATGAACTCCATCTCCTGACACATTTTAGGACCTGCCTATTCACAGTATGATGTTATCAAGCAAAAGCTATACTCAGCTAGTGAGAGCTCCTTCACTTTCTAAAGGAGAAAACAAAGAAACAGAGGGATTATGTGACTTGCCCAAGGACATAAAGCTAGAAAAGGGCAGGAGAACCCAAAATCTCAGGTTTTCCAACCTGCTACTGTTCTCACTGTCATATATCACCTCTCTCTACCTTCTTCCCTAAAGTCTCCTCCCTCCCCTCCATCATCAATCTTAGCACACTCAGTCTGCCACAACTACTAAACGCTGGCAGAGAAAAGGGGTGGTCAACTCAGTCGGCAGACTATGAAGTTACCTCACATTTTAACCAGACAAGAACAGAGTCCCAAAGTTAAGGTCAGAAGCAAAGATCTACAGCTATAACTGGCATGAACTCAGTAAGCAATTTATTAAAATTACTGAAGGAATCAGCATCTCAAGAGAAATTACAATCTCTCTGAGTCTCGGGGTCTTTTCTAGCAAATACTTGAGAGAATAAACTCCAACTGGGGTGCCCACACCCAGGGGTAACTAACAGTCCCCTAGATTGGGTTTTTAAATAAAATACTATTTTTATTGATCTTTTCTTTTTAAAAAAAAAGAAATTCAGCTTTACTTATAATTAATACAAAGATTGACAATAGTACATGTGCATAATTTTAAAATAAATAGGCATACACTGGGGTGCCTTCTCATAACCTTTTCTAAATAATACATGACAATTTTAAAAGACTGAAAGCAAAAATAATCTAAGTTTTTTAAAAAAAATCAGAATAGCAGTTTTTCTGAGGGTGGGCAAAGGGACACCAGAGAACTTCCTAGGGAGATGTAAATGTTCTATAGAGTGATAGGTACGTTTAGTCTACACACGTGTAACTGCTTGTCAAAACTGCATAGCTAAGTTCAATGTATTTCAATGTAAGTAAATTTTATGTCAAAAAAAGAACCGCAAAAAATATAATAGCGGTGGGGACTTTCGGCAACACGGCGCTCTAGGCAGAAGCACCACGTTGTCCCACCACAGCAAAGATCCAAAAAACTAAGCCAAACAGAGAAAACAGCAATCCCGAAACCCTAAACACCAAATGAAGAGATAAAGAACTCAGTCAAGCATCAAATGGAATAAGAAACTGACAGAGAACAGAGAGCAAGGAGACATACATGGAGAGGTCCCCTATCAGCTAATGCAGCATGGATCCGCCATCTTGGACTCCTATCAGAAACCAGCAAAAAGAGGGTACGAGAAAGCAGCTTCATGGAGCTTCCAGCAGGAGACAGAACAACCGGTAAACAGTGATATATGCTTTCCCACCCCCCATCCTTGAATACCCCCACTGAGCCTCCTCTGCTTCCCACGGCCACAGTCTCTTGGCCAGGAAGCACTGGCTGCTTGGATTCCACCCACCCAAACTGGCCAACTCCCTGAGTGCCATTTGTTGGCTGCTGGTGTTGCTTTTTTCTGCTTCTTTTGATTTCTTCCTTACCTCTCACCATCTCCCCATCCTTTCCCTCAAATACCTGGCTCTGTGCACCATCTTTGCTTCTTCTGCTCGAGTGTGGAACTGCTTCCCGGTCTGTGCTGCCATGCTGGTGGGATCCCGGGACTTTTTGTTTGCTTGTTTGTTTTCTTTTTCTTTTCTCGAGTCGGAAGCCCGTTCTGGCCAGGCGGTGCTGCCCAGCTTGGAACCTACCCCCTCAGCTTGCGCAGATGCGCAGAGAGATCCCTGAGAGCATTTCTTTCTTCATGAGGTTTTTTTTTTCCTGTTTTTTGGGGGGAGTTCTCTTGTTCTTTTTTTAAAATTTGTTTTATTTTGTTTTCCCTCTTTTTCCTTTTTTGTCTTTCTTCATTACTCAGTTTCTCGTCTCTCTATACCTTCCTTCTCTTCCTGTCCCCTGGATACGTGGCACTGAATACCTCTATGCCTCCTAGCCAGGCTGTACTTCAACACCTGGGAACAACTTCCCCAGACCTCACAGCCGCACCGGTGGGATCCCTGGGAGCTCTGCTGTTCTTTTTTCTTTCTAATTTTTATTTATTCATTCTTTTCTTTTCTTCTTCCTCTTTTTGTTTTTCTCCATTTCACAGTCTCTCATCTCTCCACTCCATCGGCAAGCTCCCCTAGCACTCTTTTTTGTTTGTTTGTATGTTTTTGGCTCCTGTTCCTCTCTCCTCTCTCCCATACCCATCTTAGCTCCACACATCACAACCTCCCCCTTCC